AGACCACTGTAAGCTACCCAGCCTTCTTGCAAACCCACTCACAAGACAAGGCACCAGGAGCATCAGCACTGGGACTGAGCATGTCAGAAGAGGGGTTCAGGTCACCTGTGTCATGTACAGCATAACTATTTCTACAGCAAGGCCGTGACCTTTCTTTTTTTTCTTAGTGCTGTTGTGCACTAACCCTGGCATTAGCCCACTAGTTGTATATGACTTTATCTTTCCTTTTCTTTTCTTTTTTTCTTTTAAAATAATACTTAATAGGAAAGCTTTGTTTTGCGAGTTGCGAGTCATGACTTGGATGTACTGGTTTTAGTCCAGATAAATGCTTCAAATCAGTGGAATTTAAATGCTGAGACAATTGTGAAAATCCTTTATGCACCTTTTTATGTGATAATAGTGTTTAAAATCTACCTCACTAGGTTTAGTTCTTAAGTATTTCATCAACAGATACATCGGAATTATCTTGTAGATCCATGATGGTGCTATTCTGCTCATTTCATTATTGGTATCAAAATAACTCCTGAAGTGCCTGTAATGCCATAGCTTCATATAACAAATCACTTTAAACACACCGTATAAAGCAATCAAAAATGTTGAGTATCTGGAAAGAGAAAGCACTTGCCTATTTCCTTAATCTGGATAATGTAGCCGCCATCATGTGATCCAACAAATGAAGGCATCCCAGACTATAAACTCAGTATCTGCCTGTCCCACATCAAGTATAGCATAATAGCTGACACATACATTCCTCACAGTCTTTCAAGACTCTAGTCAACTCCTATAGAAAAAAAGCCTACACCATTCACAGAGTTTTATCATACTTACGAAGGACAGCAATTCACATAAAACCTGCCACAAAAAGCAGAGTTTTTAAAGTAGGGGAAATCCCATTGTTATATCATACATCACCGGACTATAAAGTTTCTATAAAAATAGAAACTTACAGTATGGTTACAATACCAGGTGAAAGCACTCCTCCCAAGCACCTCTGATGTGAAGACTGAGGACTGAGTATCCATTCTTTCCCAGAGTAGCTGCAACCTTCAAGCATTTTACAGCTATTATGGTTCATACTACTATAGCAAATAGAGCGTGCGCTTTTGTTAGCTAACAGAGGGAGGCAGGAAATGGGAAGAAAGAGGAGCCATACCTAAATATAGATAGCTTTTTTGCAAAACAGCATTAGCAAACAAAAATGCCACGTTCTAATACCATTGCCAACATACAGAACACTACCTATTCACTAAGTTTGCCTGAATAATGCATATCCCTCATGTTCCACCGCCTCCTTATTCCAGTGGGAGAGCTAAATGAATTTGTAGCTGTAGCAACTATGCAAATAAGTTTTTATGCATTCATGTTTGTAGTTGAAGATACGAGGAACAACAGAAGTGGATATAATGTAAAACCCAAAAAGAGCATGATCAGCTTTTGCAGATCATTCAAGCTAGCATATCTCAAAAAAACCAACTGCATTTATAACATATATGCAAATGTTTTTTTTCACTTCACATATACACATATGCACATTTGTTGTGCCTAAAAATATTTATACAGATGTACCTGTCATGTCAGTCACCCACCTGTGATATTTTCAAACTATTTCATACAAGCTTCCTATTCCTGAAAGCTAAGAGACACAAGAAAAGCTAAATACCTAGCCTCCCACATGTAAGTTGACATTGTTTTGTTAGAATTCCTCCTGCTTTTGAAAACAACCTAGAAGTTTAATCTCTGAAGCTACCTTTTCTGCATTTCATTATACACAGAAATTCCTTGGTATGCTCTACTGCTTAAGACACTCAATTGAATAGTAAGCAACCTGTTCATTGGCAAATCATACTACTAAAACATTTCTTAATGTGTGTGTACTATGAAGCACAGCCAGTATCACTAAACCTCCTTTAAAAAAAAACAACAACAAAAAAAACCAAAACAAACAAACAACAAACCAGAAAACCAGTATTCATCATCAGTTTTATTTATCTATTTGCATATTGCTATATTGATCAATATAATTGCTTAAACTTCTGATTTATTTTGAGATTTCAAAGGACAAGTATGCATATCCAGCCAATTCTTGCAGACACTACCAACTGAGCTACCTCAGCTGCTTGTAGTTGGTTTTCCATGACAATATATTAATTGGGAAAGAAAAATATACAGGAAACTGGAGTACCACCATCTGAAATGCTGTATTTCAATCAATATATTATGGATATCACTGCTGCATCCCAAAAGACATTGTCATGCCAGGTACGTTATCTTTTAAATGATGCCTCTAAGGCTCCCACAAGATCATTAATGATCAAATGGCATTTTTCCCACAAAAGTAAAATATGCAACTTTTTCAAATTGTTGATACTGTCAGAAACTCGCAAATTAAACTGCTAGGGTAAATAAAAAGCATTTTTGCAAAAGCTGCAAATGGATTTCATACATGAGCTTACTAGTACCTATCAAAGTTGGTAACGGTATATTAAAATTATCATGTAGGGCACATTTGCAAACAAAATTACTGAACTAGAGAAAGCTAGCTGACCACCTGGAAGCAGGTTTAACTACAGCATAACCGCGAACTGACAGCTGCAGTCCCCTCTGCAGTTACAGAAATAACTTTTCAATTTCAGTAACAAATCCGTGTTAAGAAACCGAAAGTGAAACCAAACAGGAAAACTAAATCACTTTTCCTTTTCTGTCTCGGAGACACCGAAGTTCAAAAGTATTATTGCCTCTAAAATGTAGGGTCATGGTAACTATTAAAGGTTGAACTGTTTGTTAAAGTTGTAACTTATTTCACTTTAGAAATCTACATAAAGTGACATCAAACACTTTAACATCAGGTTAGGCTAGATAATAGAGCTGTTTTCACAAGTGTCTTTCTGCATTTTAATTGAACTCCATTTTTCATGCAAAGCCTCAACACGTGAAAAAAAGAAATCCATCCTGTGAATGTATTTCACTAACAAAATAGGAGTAAGAAATATGAACATGTTATGACAAAATAACCACGCATCTTGCTAATTACCTATTAAATCAAGGGATACATTTGCAAATTACTGAACCTTCATAATTATTAGACTCACACAATCTCGACAAACATAAAAGGAAATCTAAAATCAATATAATATCTGAAATCCACAGGACAGAAAACCTAGTTATATAAGAAAACCCATCTTCAGTTCCACGTCTGCTTGTGTTGGAAAACACTCAAGTCATTTTGGTGATTGAGTCTGGAACTCCAACTTTACAGAGAACTAAAAATTACAGTTACCAAAGTAACTACTGCAAATTAAGTTGCTCTTTATACAATACTAACAGCATTGTAAGGTATTGTGTATGTTTGTTTCAGTTGCCTTAAAATACTTTGCTTTAGTAGAATACTGCCTTGATTCTACTACACAAACGTGTTATACACATACTGCCATTATCCTGCAGCCTCCTACAGCAACTTCTGGAAGTATGTCATACGTTACCCCAGCTTCTGCTGGAATGAAAAATTTGTTTCCCCTTACCAAAGGAAACAGCAAAACCTGTCCTGCACTCAACAGACAAGGAAACACAGTTTGGACCCAGTACTTAAAGACATAGAATGAGAGAGACCTCAAAACAAAGGCATTGTCTTTGAACGGGTTAATGCTTTCCAAGTTCTGTAAGATACAGTGTAATTATAGAAGGAGGCACAAATTTTTCATAGAACTCCAGAACAGAGGTTTGTCCTGACAGTAACACCTAGGCACCTTACTGTAAATACAAAATAATCACACTGAAATTCTTCCACAGAACTGGGCAGAACACACATAGTCTGCATTTTACTGATGTCCCTCACAGGATCAAAGGTAATTCCTTAAAAAAATAACAATAATCTCCTAGTTTAAAACACAAATGCCGCATCTTTTTCATGGCAAGCCAAAACGAAGGCCTATCCCTTTCATATGGCTTAACGGTAGAGCAGGCACTGTCAAAACCATAGAATTACAGAATCATCTAGGCTGGAAGAGACCCTCGGGATCATCAAGTCCAACCATCTACCCTACTCTAAAGTTCTCCCCTACACCATATCCCCCAACACCACATCTAAACCAGCCAAGACCTATCCAAGAGTAACCACAGGCTTCTCTGACACGCGAGTAAAAGAGGTCAGCCATGTGGGACATTCAGCTTTTTAGTAAGTTTGTGTCTTCAGTTCTAGGAAAATACACTGTGGTCACAACAGGGAAATACACTGCCTATACCCAACCATTTTCAAGTTGACTTGAAGCGTTAAGCGCGACTATTGGAAAGGAAAGAGGACCAAAACCTCCACAGGGAGAGAATACAGGAAAAGGGCAAAATCATAGGAGACCAGAGTGGAGCAGAAAGACCAGGCCCTGCTCCTCAAGGGAATCCAGTCAGGATTTTCCCTAAGGAAGAACTTGAAGGGAAAGTAACTTATTACAAAAAACAGCCTCATTAAGACGCTTTTTATGATGTTTACGTGCCATCAGCAAGCGGCTCACCCCTGCCCGGAGGAACCGAGGGACTGAGGGACACCACCCAACCCTCACACAGCCCGCCCGCTCCCTGCCCGCAGGCGAACCGCGGCCGGGGCCTAGCACCGCCGGCACTGCAGGCGTTACGGGCCCCACCGCCCGCCCCGAGGGGGCTGGGGCCGATATTGAGCAAGGTAAAGGGGGCCCAGACTGCTCGCAGTTGAGGGTCTCGGTCGCCCCGGCCTCCCCGGCGGCCGCCCCCCCACCACCCCGGTCACGGCGGAGGGGGCGGGGCGCCATGACCGACCTACCTCCTCCTCCCCGCGCCACCGCCCGCCGCTTCCGCCCGCCCGAAAAGGCCGCGCTCCCGGCTCCCCGCGCGGTAGCCAATAAGAACCGCGCTGGCCCTTCCGTCCCGCCTCCCGCCGGCCGCTCCTGCCAATGGCGGCCCCTCGCCTAGCCAGCTGCCAATCCTGGCGGCATTCCCCGCCCTCTGCGCCTGAAGGCCGTGCCCCACCCGCCACGCTTCCGCCCCGCCCCCTCCCGCCGGAAGTGTGATGTGGCCGCGAGCGGGTCGCCATGGTAAGCGCTGGGCAGCGGGCGGGCGGGGGGCGCCTGCTCCGCTCCGCGATCGGCACCAGCCCCGCTCCCCTCCCCGACCCCCTCCTGCCTTCCCGGACAACTGCGGCTCTCCCCAGCGACGTTTCCCCGGGCCCGCAGGCTCCCCGGTGTCCCACTTCCCCCCCCTCCCCGCCCCGCATCCCATCCGGGCCGGGCCTTGGAGCCCTCCTCACAGGCCGAGGTTTTCGCCCCGCCGCCAGGCAGCCAGCCCGCCGGAGCGGGGCCGTCGCAGTCCCCCCGGAAAGCCGTGCTTGGCCTGGCAGTAATCACACCGGTCGTGCCTGCGGCCCTTTGGTCCCTTTCCCGCTCCTGTCTGCGCTGACCTACCCCGCGTTCTCCGCGGGGCAGCAGCCCTTGCTCGGGCCTGCGGTGCGTTGTCTGTCAGGGTTGTGTTTCTGTGTCTCTACTGGCCTTCTGATTTTATGGGTATGTTGTTTGGTGTCTTGCATCTTGAGCAGTCGGCTGAATCCTGGCACTGACCGTTGTACTCTTCCAGGAAGAGCATCAGAGGCCTAGGTCCATTAGCTAGTGAAAAGTATGAAAATGTTCCTGATCTAGAGGCTTACTAGCATAGCCATTTATATTTTCTATCTTTTCTGCCATTTCTCATTATACATACGGAGAATATAAATGGGGGATTCATATTTAGGTTAGAGTTGGAGCTGTGCTGTGAAATGATTCTTCTCAACTAAGGCAAAGATCTTTCTATAAGCAGTGGAGGGGCATGATTTTAAAATTAAAAAGAGTAACAATGGAATAGCTAGCAGGAGGTTTTCCTGTTAATATGTAACTTCAGCACAAAATTATTTTAAGATGAGCATTTTCAAAAGTTTTCTTAGACTCAGAGTGGTTTGGTTGGAAGGGGCCTTTAAAGATCACCTAGTCCTCCCCACCCTCTGCCACGGGCAGGGACATTTTCCACTAGATTGGTTTGCTCAAAGCCCCATCCAGCCTGTCCTTGACAGGTTATCTGGTTATTCATCACCATTGATGTCTACTGTACAACTTCCACTGAATCTTGTACTTCCCACATATTTTTTAGAAGATTATTATCTCTTGAACTCCTTTATGGTTGAGTTCAAAAAAAGTTTCTAGGCTCCAGATCTTGTCACTGGCAGGAAATTGCTGGAAGTTGCTCACCTGAGCATTCCTGGGCTTATCTTTTAGATGAACCTGTTCTAATCTGTGGCTTCAAGCACTGAACAAAGGATTTTCATGATAAGAAGTGTAAATTATCTCAGAAGATCTAAAACGCACATACAGAAAACAAGAGACAGAAGTGAATACCTCACCTCTAATCAGTGCCTTGAAAAAGGTAGATGCTATAGAGGTACAACACCACCTTGCTGTTCTTCATAGTACTTAAAAAGATTTGAGATTATAGAAAAGGGCAAGAGAACCTTGATGATCAGTGAGGCATTTATGTTGCTCATTCTAGCACTTAATTATGACACCAATGTTTAGCAAAAAATATTATGGCAAGCGTACAAGGTCCTGTGAGAATTTTTTTTTCTCTTTTGTTCAGGTTGCTTGTTAGAGGTTACCCTGTATGCTTCAAGGAACCTGAACTTAGGTGGAATCTTTTTCTGAGATTTTTCTCGTGATTTTATGTCAAAAGAGATGAAAATAAGATTCCTCAGTACTGTAGTGTTTGAATTCCCTCAGGGAAGACAGTAGCCCTCATGGCATATTCAGGCTTTTGGATTCTCTATGATGCTACCTCTGATGCCATGGCTGTTTCTAAAAATTTGTCTTGTGGGATTAGCAGTCATGAGCAGTAATTAATGACAGTTTCTTTTGAGTTTACACTTGACTGTGAGATAGGAAACAGCTGTTGTCTGTGTATTGTCAAATGGAAGAGAGTAGAGCTATACCTCTGATTTGTTCTCTTTCTCCAAAGGAAATGAGCTGCAACTGTGTGAAGCCAGTAGCTGTGTGAATAGCATAATTTTTGAAGCATAATTTACAAGGAACTTTATCCTTTGGAACTTTCCATCCCATTGTCTCCCGGGCTTCCTTACCACATCCTTACCAAGCAAGTCAAAACTTGTGCTGGGTGAACAGCCAGCTGCTGCCAAACAGAATAGATAGAAGCTGGCTTCTACCTGTCTTTTCCTTTATATGAAAGCACTACTTGTGTTTATTTTTTTCCTGTTCACTGCCAGTGGGTAGAGACAAAACGAAAAATAAACTGTTTTAACTTAAACCAACTTTGAAAGTGGGTAGAAGCTGCTCAATGGATTAAAAATTTACCGGAAGAAGGAGGCTTGCAGTATAATGACACAGCTGCTTAATTTATTTAGAAGCAGACTATGTATTGTTTACTGACTTTCACAGATCATTGTGTCAGTTTATCCTGTCAACTTTTGAAATGTTATATCTGAAAACTCCACAAAACTTCTCCTCGCAGGGTTGAAAAATTTGCCACACACGTGTGGTGTGGTGGGTGGAAAGAGGGAAGAAACCTAAAGTAACATTAATATTAGCAATGAGCTACTGAATGGTGGTCTTCACTTTCCTTTGTAGCAAAAACGTGCACTTGCAGCCAAACATGAGTATATGTACAAAAACCATTTTAGTGTGTACATTTTGTGTCTGTAATTGCAATTTGGTGATGAAGAAAACAAAGAATTGTAGAAGACTTCACAAAGATGGCTTCTTTCCTGTCACCCTGTGGTTGGAACTGACCTCAAGCCCCATGTTTCTGCCAAAAAGTTGATTTGGGAAGTTACCATAAGGACAGCCATTTCTGTCACAGCCTTTGTTGCTGTCTTAGAATGGTGTTTATAGTAAGAAGGGGAATTGCTCATATAACCAATTGTAAAAATGTTCCTTCATAAATATTGATCCTAACCAAACTCTCAGATACAAACATACCAGAATCATGGACACTGTTCTGCCAAAGACCTTTCAAGATTCTTCAATTACGAAGTTTTGTGTTTGGTTTATTCAAAGTTACAAAGAGGAATCAATTCTGATTCAGATTTGCCAGTAGGTTTGTTTTTATCATGGCCTAGAGGTAGATAGGATTAAAAACATCTCTTAGTTCATCCTACAGTCTGAAGGTGTCTTTGTATTGTGAATTTATTTTGGAATAATGATGGACAGCTTTTCGCATGTCAGTATTAAAATACTGTTTGAATAAGAAGCAGAATTTCAGAGAGTCACAGCTGCAGTAACAAATTTTTCATCTGCTAAAGACTTTGTTACCCAGCTCATCTGATTTTGCTGGCAATCTGGGGACTTTACTGTTTTGGCAACTGTACTGCAAGGGGATGCCCGGACCTCTTTTGCCACCAATAGTTCAACAACTGACTCAGCGTCCTTGCACCCGATACCTGTTGAACCCCGTGGCAGCTCTGGCCTGCCCCTAGCAGTAGGAGCCAACACTGGTAACTGAGGAGAAAGCAAGAAGGGTCCACTCTCCGTGTGACTTTCCTCCCATCAGAATAATAAGCTAGTCAGAGAACTGAAAAGGAGAGGAAAGAAGAAATAGGAGAGGAAGTGTGGCTGGGTAGGGGCAGCAAAGGATGTTGTTTACTATGCTGCACTAGTATTGGCACTTAGTAAATCTCATCCCAGCTGTAACTGCACTTGTAAATAGTAATGTTACTATGGTGTAGGCAAGTTGTGAGTTACTGTTCGGTGTAGATGCTTCTGTGTCAGTTACAAGCAGGTGTGAAAATACATAATCAATATTTTCCTTCTGTTGTTACAGAACAGAGAAAACTATTCTGCATTGTAAGACATATCTCTTGGTCTGATTTGGGAAGAGTAGGATGCAATGAGCCTGTTTTTTCAAGTTTTACCACATAGCTGAACAGTCCAGGAGTGACACCAATTGTCAGAAACCATTTCTTTGCTGAGTGCCAAGCAGTTCTTACTCGGCATCTTTGGCGTTCTGTCTATTACTATGAAACATTTTCATTTTATTCAGTAATAGCTGGAGAAGTGGGGGTCACGTTTTTCTGCAGCCCATTTGAAATTAATAATGGGCTGATTATACATGGTAGATTTTCTGTTCATGATCCAAGCTCTTAAGCTGAACAAAAGAGGAAGCTGAAGTTATCATAAAATAGTCAATGTCACAATTTAATTTTTTGATTGGCTACAGCATTAGACACCATGCACATCCACTGTAATAGCATAGTAATGCTGCATCTGCTGGCTGCTTACACCAGAAGTCCAGTTTTGAAACTGTTGTGTAGCTGTTGGGGCAAAGAAGGAACTCGAGTGAGCATGGAATTCCAACATCCGTCACCTTGAGGTGTCATTTCAGTGTTGGTCTGTGGATTTAAATTGCAGTAAAAAAATTAGATGAGTTAAAGTCAAGAGAGCTTTTGTAGGAGAGGACAACTGTTTCCATCTGTTAATTCATTGTCTAATTGTTTAAAGAGATTGGTTATGTTTTTAAACAGATGTATTAGTCTTCAGTTAACTGAAAAGCATACGCGTTGATTCCTATGTGCTGTACTTGCCATTTCAATTAAACAACATACTTCTTCAAGAAGCGTTTAGGGGAAAGATTCCCTATTACTCTAATCAAGCCTTAGCCTAAATTTTATACATGCAAAAATACATATTTCAGACAGAACCTTGAATATTTTAGACAGAAATGTGAATGAGCATTAAATCCTGTACTTGAATTCATTGGAAACTCAATACTGCAGTCAACGTGCAGTAAACTCAAAAACTCTATTCATGTTCGAGCAACCAGTAACTGCTAACTGGATGGTATTTGGATATTTATTAAGCATAAACCAGTTTTGTATAAACACCTCTTGCTTAGTTCTTCAGTGTAGTTTTGCCAATAATCACTTCAAAATTAACTGATCTGCAAATTTTGAATTTTGTATTTTTCTTAGCGTGCCTCTTTTACAAATGCTTGTTTTCCATTCATTTTTAGCAGATTACATTTGGCAGCCATGGGAAAACAAATCATTTTGGAATAGGCTGGAAAATAATATAATTATGTGCATGTTTTAATTAAGTTTTAGCAATTGCTTTGACCTTCAGGTTGGGAGTAGTCTTATATGTTTTATTTCCTGTTTTTTTTTTCAATATTATACTCCTAAAAATTTGATTTAGACTGGGGAAATAAGAATTGCAGTACCTAATGGAAACCTCAGATAATAAGCATTGTCTCTTTCAGCTTTTTAAGGACCTCTTCATTAAAATTTCATAGATTGATTTCACATCTCTATGATGGAGTTTGAAGCCTATGCTGCTATTTAATGTAGGCTTTTACATTTTTATCAGATCTTGCTTAACCACAGTTTAACTGCAGCGTAAGCTCTTGCTCACATCTTAATATGAGAAAAGCAGCTAAATGATCAGATATCAGCT